GGGCTGAGTGTTCCACATTAGCATTTACATTCTTCCTTCTACTTGCCATTTTCATGAGCAACATCCCAAAGCTATAGACGTTTGATTTATAAGATACGCTACCAATGTTTTTGTAGAACAACTTGATCGCCATATACCCCAGGGTTCTTCTTATGGCAATCAATGAGACTATGCTATTATCAGTGGGATAAAGTTTCGCTAGTCCAAAGTCAGAAACTTTCGGAGTGAAATTCTTGTCTCAAATAATGTTGGGAGGCTTGACATCAAAGTGTAGTATTTAAATGTTGCACCCCTGATGTAAATATTCAATCCCCCTCGCCATTCCAAGAGTAATCTCATATATTTTCATGTAACCAAGAAACTTATCACCTTCCTCCATGAAGATGTGTTTATCCAAGGATCCATTTGACATGAGATCATACACGAGAGCCTGATTCGAGCCTTCAAAGCAAAAACCGATGATTTGCACTATATTAACATGGTAAATTCTTCCAATAATAGCCACGTATTGATAAAATCATGGCCATGGGCCTTGGATTGCTTTAAAATCTTGATGGCCATTTCATTGCCACTTCCAAGCATTTCTTGTACATGTAACCATACCTCCCTTCACCTATTGTGTGCTTAAAATTTCTGGCAATCTTCTTATATTTGAGTAAGAGGACCTTATGGACAAAAAGTTGTTATAAGCTTGCAAAAATTCTTCGATGTTCTTGTCCATTGCTAAGTGCCTTCTTCTGTACTTGTAGATTAGAAATATCGCGACAAATGGTGTCTTGCTTACGAACTTTGCTTCATGGAAAAGCAATGAGGAAAACTTTGATAGGTTAGAATAGGTTTATTTTTTAATTATTTTAAGAACAAAACATTTCTGCATGAGTTGTTCAAAATTGACACGAGGATATCGCCAAAATTGACAGTGTCATTATTTCTATAGATGGATTTGACAATGTAGTTTGTAGGATTATTTCACACGCTAGCTCAAGTTTTGATTCACCAGTCTTTCGGGTCACTCTTCCATCGAAAGGGATAGCTTATCTTGTGAACTTCACCGCAAGAGAAGCAAAACAAGGTCATTCATTCTAAGCATTACGTGTCCCTAGTAGCACAACAAGAAAGACCAATGACACGAGGTACACAAGTGTGGAATTGAGATGAAAAATCATGTCCCTCTCAACCTGTGAGTAATGGAAATTGATATGTGGTGGAGGATCAACAAGGATCAAATGTATTTGTAATAATGGCAAATGAGAGAGATCATGAATATGAAGGCTTGGGGTCATCTGTTGAAAAGGCCATGTCAACCAATAAAACAAAGTCAATCAAGTCGAGAATGTTACAAGAGTAGCGAGCAGGACTCAACTTCATCACCATTTCTTTCTAGCAAGAAAACATCACAACTGACAATTCATATATTTAGCCGACCAACGATCTTTATTTCATATTTTTGGAAATTTTCCTTAGGTAAGTAAGTTATTTCAAGTTCCTGGAGGTACTTATGATGTTAATGAGTTTTCTAATTTATAATGTGACTGGAAATCCATCTTAAAATTCGATTGCAGACTTTGAATCAAAGTGAATCTATGTGAGTTAAGAATCGAATGCATCCCTATAATTAAGGATTGCATAAATTCAGTTCAAAGGAAAAAAAAATGTCTATTCGTAAGTTTACACAAAGAACTATCCCCTAATCAGGTGATGGGAGGAGGGTGCAACCTGAAAGCACAGCCCTTATTTTAAAGACTAGACCATAAACGTTAAGTGAAGCGATTGTCGATCCCGTGCTCTTTCATTCGTTGCAGGACAAATACTAGACTCCTCGGAAGCACGACTCTGTAGAGGATTCACGTCCGACTTTGTTTATTTTGGGGTGCTTTTCTTCGCTCAACTCATGACTCTTAATGGAACGCTTAAAGATATAAAACTAAACATGATTTTCAATTAGAACATTAAAAAAATTGAGAACGCATCGCTTTTGTTTATACCTTCCTGTCAAAAGTTAAAAGTACTACTCAAATTATTTAAGAAAAATTTTGAAAAAAATATAGGCAAATTTACATGTCAATGTTTGTATGTGATGACAATTTATGTATTTAGAGTTAAAGAAACTAAAACTGTGGACGCCGTAAAATTAAACTAAGCAAAATGTAAAAAGTGTAATAGTAGTCTCCGCATTGTAATTATCTTATGGCCAAACCAAGGAAGCGCAAGCTATATACTTTCTTGTGCGATACAGGATGTGAGTAGCTGATGAAAACACCGTTGGCCATCGCATCGTGGAGCTGCTCGTATGGTGAAAGCATATGATCAAAACATGCCCATGTCGTCATGGGTGATGGTGCAAGATTCCTCAATAACCAACGCGTTTTCATCCATCACAGTCCTTTAATGCCCACTCATTTTAGATTATTTTAGACGATAAGTCCAAGGAGTATGCTCCACGATATATAAAGGAGAAAGCAACAGGTCTTGAGCACTTCACAAAGACCATTGATTTACCAAAAACATGATAACCCTCATAACTGAAGTTAGAGTTCGTCGATGAATAGCTAGGGAGGAATGAGTAATTATCCTTTTGCAATCCCATGTCAAACACAAGGATGTCGCCAGAATTGACGGTGTCATTATTTCTATAGATGGATTTGACAATGTAGTTTGTAGGATTATTTCACACGCTAGCTCAAGTCTTGATTCACCACACCCATTCGGGTCACTCTTCCATCGAAAGGGATAGCTTATCTTGTGAACTTCACTGCAAGAGAAGCGGAACAGTGCCATCCATTATGGTCATTATGTGTCCCTAGTAGCACGTTAAGAAAGACCAATGACATGAGGTACACAAGTGTGGAATTGAGAGGAAAAATTATGTCCCTGTCAACCTGTGGGCAATGGAAATTTGGGGCTTGATATGCGGTGGAGGATCAACAAGGATCAAATGTATATGTGATAATGGTGAATGAGAGAGATGATGAATATGAAGGCTTGGGGTCATCTATTGAAAAGCCCATGTCAACCAATAAAACAAAGTCGAGAATGTTACAGGAGTAGCCAGTAGGACCCAATGTCATATCATTTCTTTCTGGCAAGAAAACATCACAATTGACAACTCATATATTAAGCCGACCAACAATATTTATTTCATATTTTTGGAAATTTTCCTTAGGTAAGTAAGTTATTTCAAGTTCCCGGAGATACTTATGCTGTTAATGAGTTTTCTAATTTCTAATGTGACAAGAAATCCGTCTTAAGATTCGATTGCATACTTTGAATCAAAGTGAATCTATGTGAGTTAAGAATCGAATGCATCCCGATAATTAAGGATTGCATAAATTCAGTTCAAAGGAAAAAAAATGTTAAGAATCGAAAGAATTATCCTCTCTATTCTATTTTTATTGAAGAAAATTCTCTAGAAGTCGCTAGATTAAAATATTTGAATTTTATAGTTCCCTCACTATCTTTGAAGAGAATCTTATAGTGTGTTCAACGGTTTGGCATAATTAGAAGACTTTGAAGTCACCAATAACAAAAGGTCCCATGGTTCATTGAGAAAATACAAGTTCAAATTTTTTTTCACTCGAGAATTGAGAATAAAGTGGCACTATATGGAGTGTATATTAGTCATTAATAAGTTCAAGAAAATACAAGTTCAATTCGGAATTTTGTAGATTTTTGTTCTCGATTCTTTGTAGTAACCTAAATAAGTATTGGGACAAGAGAATACTTGATGACGGTTAAAATTATGTAAAATCTTAAAATTTATATTTTAGCTAGAACTTCTCCACTATAATTAAGGGTGGCTTCCTCATATTAAATTTTTCTAAAAGATATAACTAAACAATATATATTAAATTGTGTTAATTAGAAATCACAATTTCTTACATGAAATACGAAGAAATAGATAATACAATGTCAGTACATATAAGATGAGATGAGATTATTTGATCAGTTTACCTCTTTGCCGGGAAATTTGTCCAAAAAGTCTTAAACATATTACACTTTTGCCAATTCAGTTCTAAACTTTTCAATTTTTCCAATTAAGTTCATCTGGCAAATTTTGATCGAAATTCGTTGATGTGGAGCTAGCCGTCTTATATGACATGACCGATGCTGACGTTGACAATTTTTAATAATATTATAATATAAGATGAGATGAGATGAGATTATCTTATCAGTTTACATCTTTGCCCACTAAATACAACAGCTATGATCTACCTTAGAAACTTACAGGGATTTTGATAGAAGTTTTTCAAAAGAAAAAGTTTGAGCATCAAACTGAAGATGATGACGTTTCAATAAGGTGCACCGAAATTCTACAAGCCCTGTCAATTATAATCATGTGATAATTTTTAAGAGGAAATTATAGTTTTTGGGTCTTGTTACTTGTCCGTAGCCTCATGTAAATTTTAAAATGGAATATGAGTTCTTTTAAATATAAATTTCATAGAATTTTTCCATCTAGGACCTTCACTTTTTCCATTTTGATACCAGTCACATAGACAGATGGTGTCTAATTTGTAAAACTTAGACACATATTTTCTCTGAAAATGAATTCATAATTTGAAACCAGCATTTTTTTATATCAACAAATCATACGCCGATAGTAGCCCGTTAAGTAGAAAGAACACATGTTATTATCAGCTTATTGATTGAAATTGCTCTAAATCACATAATGAGGAAGGAAAATTATTGATGTCTGCCACCTTCCCTCACCGTTTTTGTCCTTGCTCTCTTACCAATTTGTTTATCCTGTTGAAGGAGGATGCAAGAGAGTAAAACCATATGAAATACAAGGACACGACATTAACCTAAGAGCTAGAAGAAAACAATCTTGATAGTAATCACTGTTGGAGTTAAACTAGCTCAAGTCCCTCCTAACATAATACTAGATTGCGGGGACATATAACAAGTACACAAGGTTTTCCAATCAAACCGAGGATGGTTTTCTAAACATCATTGCCATCTTCAAATGGAAAACTAGCAGAAATTGTTGGAGCGCTTAGGCTCCATTTGATTCACAGAAAATGAATTATTTGGAAAACATCTTCCACAAAACAATGGCTTGTATTGTTTATAAAAATGAATGAATGATAAATATTTATATTGTCCACAAAAATGTTTAGAAATAAATTATTTTCAATAATGAAATTATTTTTTATTGACTAATTATTTTAAACCATACAAGCGATCATTTTTAAGGAGATGTTTTCGAATCATTTATTTTCCGCGAAACAAATGAAGGTTTAATGAAGTTGAGAATGTTTTCAGTTCCATCTCGGCTTTGTCATTGTTCACCGGCTGCTCCCGTGGGTAAATAAGCAGTTTCGGAGGCATTTGAAGTTTACTAATATCTCCTTCGAGCATTTCTAGGACTTTGCTCATTGAAGGCCAATCGCTACAGTTTAATTGTATTCACCAAAGTGCAACTAGTGTCATCTTTTTTTATCACCTTCCTTTCCTCTTCTACAACTTCTTCCATTTCAACTCTTTTTCCTTTTTTGACTTGGTCGTACACCAACAACGAAAAATAAATTTGGGCTAAGGTTCCACATTAGCATTTACATTCTTCCTTCTACCTGCCATTTCCATAAGCAACATCCCAAAGTTATAGACATTTGATTTATGAGATACACCACCAATGTTTTTGTAGAACAACTTGGTTGCCATATACCCCAAGGTTCTTCTTGTGGCAGTCAATGAGACTATGCTATATTAAGTGGGATAAAGTTTCGCTAGTCCAAAGTCAGAAACTTTCGAAGTGAAATTCTTGTCTCAAAGAATGTTGGGAGGCTTGACATCCAAGTGTAGTATTTAAATGTCACATGCCCAATGTAAGTATTCAATCCCCTCGCCATTCCAAGAGCAATCTCATATATTTTCATGTAACCAAGGAACTTACCACCTTCCTCCGTGAAGATGTGCTTATCCAAGGATCCATTTGACATGAGATCATACACGAGAGCCTGGTTCAAGCCTTCAAAGCAAAAACCGATGTGTTGCACTATATTAACATGGTAAATTCTTCCAATAGTAGCCACTTTACCGATAAAATCTTGGCCATGGGCCTTGGACTGCTTTAAAATCTTGATGGCCATTTCGTTGCCACTTCCAAGCATTTCTTGTACATGTAACCATACCTCCCTTCCTCTAGTGTGTGCTTAAAATTTCTGGCGATCTTGTTATATTTGAGTAAGAGGACCTTATGGGCAAAAAGTTGTTATGAGCTTGCAAAAATTCTTCGATGTTCTTGTCCATTGCTAAGTGCCTTCTTCTATACTTGTAGATTAGAAATATCGCGACAAATGGTGCCCTACTTACGAACTTTGCTACACGGAAAAGCAATGAGGAAAACTTTGATAGGTTAGAATAGTTTTATTTTTTAATTATTTTAAGAACAAAACATTTCTGCATGCCAACTAGAAATATAAAATCTGAAGTTGTCCAAAATGCAATATCATCTAGGACACCTGCGGAAGGAATGAAAGATGTGAAAAGGAATTGAAGGAAAAGAAGTATGGAAAACAAAACTCACGAGGAAACAGAGTGGTAGCAAGCTACTTTGTACAAGTTTTGTTCAAAAGAACAAAAGTAGTGGCATGAGTGCATTTGCAAGTAAATGGGAATAATAAGCTTCGTTTATGATAGACGATGTAAGAAACTCCTTTAGCTTTGTTAGTAGTCAACATATATAGAGAACCAGTGATTTTCATCATGAAAAAATAATTTTGTTCCTACCATAGCGACCCTCCTGCAAAGTCTCTGTAATTTGGCGCGACGATTCAGTGACAGTCCGCGAGGCAACCAGCATGTTACACCTCAGCGATAGCGATGGTGCAGCGATAATAGTGATCGTGAATGACGAGGATTCAACAAAGGCAGTGAGAAGGGGATGATTACATCTTCATGGGGGTAAGCAAGCACCAGCAGAAGCATGAATGCCATCGTAGCTCTCATCTAATTTGGAATAGACAAACTGAATCCATCTTCTCTTGAACTGTACACAATTAGAAACCAAACTACTAAACCCTTCAGGAACATCACCACATAACATGCTTGCTCTCTTGTAAAGCAGTGACTTGCAAACTGAGCAAACCTATGAGCTCAAGCGGCAACTCGCCAGACAAATTCTACTTGCTAGAACCACGGGCAGTTAGCTTAAAAAGAAGATCACCCAAAGCAACTGGAATTGGCTCTAAGAATCTATTTCCACTGAAGTCCAAAATTAATCAAGATGCTCATCTCTGTTATTTACTCCGGCAAACTACCAATGAAGCTATTGATTCTAAAATTCAAAGCTTCAAGTCCCCATGAGATTAGTGATACTTGCAGGAACTAAACTTGAGAAACAGATTATCTCCAAGAGACAAAAAAAAACTCTCAAATTTCTGAATTCACTGACGAATTAAGAAACCTTCCCAGCAAGTCCATTCCCTTCGAGATAAAGCATTTGCAAAGAACTACAGTTTCGGATCTCACCAGAAATGGGCTCCACTAAAAGAGTTGATCCTCATACTCAGGTCCTTCATTCTACGTGTTCCGAGTGAAGCTATTCCTCTGAGGCGTATCATCAAACACTCACCGTGCATTATCCGTTTGGCCTCATTGGATCAATAATAGCTAAGAAAGCTTCCTTATACCTCATAACAGAGAGAACCAAAACCAATGTATCCCCATGAAGGAGGCATATAGATTCCTATCACTCGGGGTACGTAGACGTACCCTGATTCAATCAATAGAGTCGTACCTGTTTTGAGTGTACACGCCGCTTCATTTGCCACGCTACTAACTTCCACCTGAAGGTTTGATGAGGTCGGGACCATCGCGACGTACCGATTCGGGGAGCCATGCGGAAACGCACGTCGCTGATGGAGCCTTGCGCGCGGATAAGAATCGAGAAATCGTCGATGGTAAGGATCATCGAGCTTTTGAAGATTCGCCAGTTCAGGTTTACTTGATCTTTTTCGCCAACGCCAGAACCAGAAGGCCGAATCCCGCTGGTACAGAGCCGCAATGCCACGTCGCCCAACATCAGGCGCGTGAGAGGCGAAGGAGAATAGGAGACGGTCGTGCGATGAAGCCTTTGAAGCGGTGCGCGACGACGATTCCGTAATCAAACATATGTCAGGATGAGTTAATTGCGGCATCGTTGGTGACTGAAGATACTATTGGTCTTGGTGGTGCGATGAGCGGGAGCCGCGGATCATCAATTCCTACTGTTGAGCTGGAGTGCTTCGTCTATGGAGGTTGTGCTTGCCGTGAAGAAGAAGATGACTACATTAAAAAGAAAACTTCAGTGCTGTAACTGAAATCCAGATTCGAGAGTGTTGTATCCGTTGAATCAAGATGGCCTTGGAGATGGTGGTGGATTGTCGTCGTTGTCTGGGCTACTGTGCTTGATGGGCTTAACGGAATTGGACTACGCCGATTGAGCGCTGTATTTGTGAATTTAGGCCACGATCCGTCCTCTTGATTTTCAGCCATGATAAAATTGAATAGGATAGAATATATGAATTCCATATATTTTTCTATATCCTATCAATTGTGATTGATGGGCTGGATTGCGTTAAGCCAAAATGGAATGAATGTGTCCGGACTCCTTAGATGGATCTTTTATTGATCATTACTTGTTTTTTTTATTGTTTTTGTTTTTCTATTCTCTATTCTATATTTATTTATTAATTTTTTTAAAAAGGCATATTCGATTGATTTGTAAAAATTCAGGTATAAACACTTATTATTGATACATGAATACCATTTTTCAAGGAATTGTCAGAAGAATGTCTCTTGAATTATTAGTTAAGTGACTAATTAAGGAACAAATTAAGAAAATAAGAAAATCTAAAGTCTATGCCAACAAAAAAAAGTAATCATGTGTCTGCCCACACTAACAGTCCCTTTCTTTTGACATTGGGAGTTCTAGCCCTTCTATGGAAAGAAGATACAATCTAGGCTCATGTATGTCTACAGTTGAAGATGGATCTGTTTGGGGATGATTTCTACGGTCTTCTTTTCTTTTTCTTTTTTCAGTTTCTTCCAACTCATACAATTTGGTTTTCATATGTAATATGCGAAGCTCCCAAAACCTTTCAAGCACACAAATGCTGACGTGTACTAACGCGTATAATTTGTCATTATTTTCATGGATTAAAATATTTCTGTCATTTTTTAGTTTTGAAGAGAGAGCAGTTTGAGAAAGGTCACAAAATGGAAGATCCCAATGTGAACCGATTCAATTTCTTGTATTCTAAATGTACATATTTATACACCATTCACAATTACTCCTATAGTTATGGCAAGTACAACCGAAAAATTGAATAAAATAGCTCATAGGATAAGAATGCAATGGTAGCATATGATCACGCTAAGATCGCGCTAAGAATATGATCACGCTAAGACTCCCTCTTAAGCTGGCTTGTGCAGGTTATCAACGCCCAACTTGGAAAATAGCCGCATGTACTGATCTCGGCCTAGTGATTTGGTAAACACGTCAACTAGTTGTGACTCTGTACCAGTCCTCAATGGAGCAATGAGGCTGGCTTGTATATTTTCGCGAATGAGATGGCAATCAATTTCAATGTATTTCGTTCGCTCGTGAAAATCTGGGTTGGCAGCAATGTGGAGGCAGCCTGGTTATCACAGTGTAAAAAAACTATGGCTTGAAGAGGCATGCCAATGTCTTGTAAGAGGTATGATAACAAGGTAATTTCACATGTAGTTACTGCCATTGCACGATATATCGCTTCAGCGAAAGAGCGTGAGACTCTACTTTGTTTCTTGATTTTCCAAGAAATGGGGCTATCACCCAATAAAATGCAATATCCAGTTGTTGAATAGAGCGAGACATGGGGCAACTAGCCCAATTTGAGTCACAATAAGCCATGAGTTAGAGTTCATTTTCAGCTGAGTAGAAGAGCCTTTGGCCTATAGTGGCCTTCAGATATCATAGGAGATGGTGTGCTACATCCAAATGTGGTTGGCGTGGTGCATGTAAAAATTGACTCAGGATGTTGACGCTATGAGCAATATTTAGCCTAGTAATAGTCAAATAAATGAATCGACCAATCAAGCATCAATAGAGGGACAAATCCTCCAATAGAGTGCATGTATCGATGCTCAATTTTATATTTTGTTCCATAGGAGTATCAGCTGCCGGGCCCCACTAAAACAACAAACTTCTAGAATATCTAGGATATATTTTCGCTAGCATAAATTAAGACTAGAGCGGGATCGAGCCACCTCAATACCCAAAACATATTTTAGAGGCCCGAGATCCTTAATGTGGAATTTATTGTGTAACATAGTCTTCACTGAATCAATCAAAGAAGCATTAGTACCAATAATGACTAGATCATCTACATATAGTACCACAAAAACATAGTCATTGCCATTGTGTAAGACAAAGAGGGAATGATCGGCCTCAAAATGTGTGAAACCGAAGTCACATAAGGCAATAGAAAACTTGGAATACCATTGGCGAGATGTTTGTTTCAAGCCATATAGAGATTTGTGAAGTCGGCACACAAGATTCTCCCCCTTACGCCAAAAACCAGAGGAAAGTTTCATATAGACTTCCTCATCCAAGTTGGCATGTAAGAAGACGTTGTTAACATCCATTTGTTCAAGAGGTTATCCCTTAGCTGTGGCAACGGCCAAGAGTACACAAACTATAACCAATTTGGCAACAGGCACAAAGGTATCATGATAGTCTTTCCCTTCAACCTAGGTATAGCCTTTGGCGACTAAGCGGGCCTTATACCGTTCAATACTGCCATCAAATTTTCGTTTGATTTTATAGACCCATTTGGAGCCTATGGCCTTATTGCCAGGTGGAAGTGGTACGAAGGGACCATGTGTGATTCTGAGAAAGAGCTTTGATCTCGGCCTACATGGTGTCTCTCCATTCCTGATGCCACATTGCCTCAGTGAAAGTGGATGGCTCAGTAGTGGTAGACAAAGAAGTACGAAATGCTAAATGGGATTGTTTAAAATGAGAATATTGGAGAAAATTAGACATGGGATAAAAGATACCTAGACCATTATCTTCGGCGGAACTTAGCATTTGAGTAAGCGAACAACAATAGTCCTAGAGGTAACTAGGAGGGTTGACACATCCAATGGGGTCTGGTAGATTGTTGACACGGTGGAGGTAAGGGTGTTTGTGGTGATGTGAGGATTGGGTGTGATTGTGTGGGGTTTGTTGGTGAGGTTTGGGTTATCTCGTTACATTGTGCAATAGGAAGTGATAATACAGGTAACCCTGACAAGGTAGCGTTAGGGAGCATCGAGTAAGGAAAAATTGTTTCGTGAAACACAACATCTTGATCACTCACATATATCTTTCTGGTGAGAAGATAAAAAATGTGATACCCTCTTTGACCATTGGGATATCCCAAAAAAAACCCCAGAGTAGCACGGGCATCAAATTTATTTGAATGGAGGTGTTGCGCCCAAAACATAAACAACCGAAGACTCGAAGGTGAGTGAGATTCGGTGAATGACCATGTAAAACCTCATATGGAGTTTTCCTTTTCAATACGGCAGTGGGAAGTCAGTTTATGATGTAGGTGGCATTGAGAATGCATTCACCCCAAAACTCAATGGGAAGGTTGGATTTGAAGCGTAAGTCACACGCAATATTTAGAATGTGCCGGTGTTTGCGCTCCACCACTCCATTTTGTTGAGGGGTGGACATGCAACTCGATTGATGAATAACACCCATAGAGTCTAGAAAATAAATAGTAAGCTGATTGAAAATTTCTTTTCCATTATCAGAGCGGATGCAACGAATTTGTTTACCAAATTGGGTTTTTGCCATGGAAAAGAAATTAATGATAAAATGATTTACATCAGCTTTAGAAGACATTATATAAAGCCACGTGCTATTGGAATAATCATCAACCATAGTAAAAATAAAAACGTGCCCTGGATAAAGAGGTAGTCAGATATGCGCCCCAAACATCCAAATGAATTAAATCAAAGCATGAAATAGTAGAAATTGTACTAAAAGGAAATGTCACACGAGATTGTTACGCAAATGGCCACACAGTGCAAGGAAAAGTATTAGAAAATGAAATGTTATTATCTAAAGCTTGCAGATGATGAAGGCAAGATGAATTCGGATGTCCCAACTGCTAGTGCCAAAGGTTAAAGTGTGCACCTGATATGGTGGTAGATGTCAAAAATGTGGGTTGGGGTGTGGAAAGGTAGCATAAACCACCGTGCCACTTACCCGTCGCTAAAGTCCTTGTTGAGATTGGGTCCTAAAAAAGGCAAGTATCAAAAGTAAATGTAATATTGAGAGAAGTAGCAGTAGTAATTGGGGAACGAATAAAACATGATCAAGAGTTAGATATGGTATTAGAGAAATTCGCCCAATTCGTTGAACATGAACCATAGTCCCATTAGGAAGGGACACAGGGTTGGAAGTTATATTATTATAAAATATATAAAACAAGGTTGCATCACAATATATATGATCCATCGCACTAGAGTCTAGGATCGAGGATGAAGTGGAATTTAAATAAAAGGAAGTACCTGCAAAATTCACCAAAGGGTGAGAAGAAGGTGTGGTTTTACTAGCTGGAAGTAAATGAAGGAGTTGTTCTATTTGTGCAACAATAAGGGTTGGTGGAGCGGAGGAATCAACTAGTGACAACTACGGCAATAGTCGAAGAACCAGTTAGGCGTGAATGTTGTTGGCGGCCAGAATTATTGGTGGGGTTATGGTCATTCCACCATTCCGGACATCCATGCTTCTTAAAACACTTGCTTTCAAGATGTCCGTCCCTTCCACAGTAAATACAATGTAAAATGGGTTTGGAAGAACCTGTAGGCAGAGAAGTGTGAGTATTATTAAGACGAAGTGCAGCCATAGTAGTAGGATCGGGAATGACAGTGCAATTGTCCTGAATAGTGCGCTATCGTTCCTCTTGTAATAGTAAAGCATATGCCCTATTGACAGTAGGGAGTGGATCCAAAAGGAGGATCTGACTCTGAATTGCGGCATAAGATTCATCGAGTAATTTCATGTCAACTTTGAAATGGAGTATGTATTCTTTCATAAACTTCATTGAATTGTTTCATCGAAGATTTTATTCTTTCCATTTTAATAAAATTTGTTTCTCGCATAGATAAATGGTGTCTACTTTGTAAAAATTATACATGTATGTTTTCTCTGAAAATGAATTCATAAGTCAAAATCAGCTATTTTTATATCAAGAAATCATATG